ATGCAGTTTTGTAGCAAATAAATTGGTTGGTATATCTGCACAATGCTTCTTTATGACACCGTTGTCAATTCTGAGCGTCCCGTTTTGAATGAATACTCTTGTGAAGGGATATTAAGCATCCACATGCTTCTTTGTAGCATAATATCGGTGCTTGACATCTCTGCTGTCACCTTTTGAATGTTATTGAGCGCCCCGAGTTTCCTAAAACAATGAATTCAATACCCCCGAACTGTTCCCGATCCTGAAACATTTCGACTATTGCGTTTTTACACAAGCAATGTCTGGACTAGTACATGTTGTAATGTATGAAACTTGCAATAAAATATCGTACCGTCCGGAGCATCTCTGCAGCTTCTACAATCATACTTTGCGACCTATAATTCCAGCATCATCGAATGAAAGCATTCATCTTCTTTCGCGATCTGCAAAGCAAATTCCTCGTATTATCGTGATTGTACCGCATCTGCCGTATTACAAGTATTCCTTCAGTCTTGCCGTGATAATTAAGTCATTTTTTAGAAATGTCGCTGCAAAGCTGCTTAAGAACGAAGAACGTTCGAAATCGTTCTTGAGAGTATGCTTAACATGACAGATACAAGAGCAGTCCTTGACTGTAAATAACGTATCGTTTCTATATAGACAGAACAAAATTGTAGCCTTTCTTGGAATGCTTACATACAAGAACTGAGTTGTACCACAGCATTTAGAACCATCAGCCACAAAGTCATATTTTTCAGACACAAGCCGCATGCTTCACATTTTAGCATACAAATGTGATTCTCATCTATCGCAATACCTATTGGTACCTGCATACAGACACAGTCATTCACTATGCAGTTGAGGAACGTTGTATCTGTAGCAGTTGCTCCATATCAATCCTTGCCGAATATTAAAAGGCTTTAGCCTGTAATTCATCCTTGTCAATTTTTGGACTGATCGGTCATAACTTCCTTCGTTCATCGTTCCAATCCCAAACCATTTTCAGGTAAAACCATGGGCACTTCAGGGTATCCTGACCATTTAGTCATTGGACGATATACTAAATGATCTTCCTGGAATGGCTGCGGGGCATGGTATTTGATAAATTACTATCCAATCGACGTTTCATCTTCAAGCGGCAGATGATGTTGCGCACTGGTACTTTATAACTGATTATCTTCATCCATTTCGCTTTTTGGAGCGGGTTCTTGACGTCCTGCAGCTGTTCATTCAGCAAGGGTCGTCGTACAACCGACGGGGTGTCTGATATATGTTTTTTAAAAAGGTCGGAGGGCTGTGGGATTCGATTCCTGGGCATAATAATATTCTGTTCACTGTAAACTCGCCAGGCTTCAATGACTGTGTTACTCTTGACCTTGCGTACTTCGAAATTATAAATACAGTATCCCTTGTGCTCTCTGCGTTTCTGTGGAACAGACAATAAAGGTCTCTTTCGATCAAGATTAGCCTTTTGTGCGCTGTTGACATGAGCGTGCCCTTAAAGCTAAATCACACGCGAATGTTCCATAGCCGATTTTTTTAAGTCTATCCAGGCATCATACTAGATCGCTCAGTGTTCACATATTAACTGGCCAGATAAATTGCGATGCTCAAAGCATCTATCTATTACGTCGTTAACATACACTTCTGGTGCAACATACTCTGTTTCATCATCATACGAGTCTTCCATCCTAATGTTGTAATTAGCTGGACATTGTACAATTTAATTGTCCGTCGCATGATATCCTGCTGAGTACACATGTCTTACTTAAAACATCTTTCCATAATCATTTGTCTTCGTTCTTGTAGAGAGCATTTAACTTGGCCAGCCTCGATAAGGCTTCAACATTGTTCTTTAAAGCCTTAGCGACTACATCACGAGTGCAATGATTTACAGGTATTCATGTATATTGTGCACCTCGTTTCTAAAACTGTTCGCATTGGCTCATCATATCCGAGTAAAATTTCAATGCACGCGGTGTTATTGACTTCAACCGTTTTGGAAGAGGAAGTTCTCCTTGATGTCATGTAGGATGCCAAAGTTTGTATTATGTGTCAGTTCGAGTTATACGCCACGAGCAGCGCTATTTCTTGCTCGCAATTAAGCATTTAGACCCTGTGGACCCTTCGGCCAATTGTCCTGTACTTCTGGTTTTGGAAAAACACATAGGGAGTACTCAAATGATACGTGAATGGCAACCCATCGTTGATGGGGGTTCATGCGAGCCAACGCCACTTGAGTCAATTACCATAATACGTAGTTTCCATCTTGGATCAC